CCTACAGAACCAGCTCCAAAGTCAGAAATTATGGCATCTATCTCATTGATATATTTAATTATAAGCTCGTCGTTTGGAAGCAGTTTCGCTGTTTACAGTTGTCATAAACACAAAGTTTTCAGTGGTTTATCCTCTAAAGACAGTTTTTATTATGTGAGAGAAGCTATGACTTGCTAACATAACCATAAATATATATATACCGGGACAACTTTTGCTCAAAGGATTCCTCTACTTTTGAGATTAATTCACGTATGATATTTTAAAAGCTAACTCTTTGGTGTAAATGTATCGACCCCGATAACATGTGATAAGCGATTGATAGGAGTATGCTTGATTGACCTATTTATATCTTCACAGATGATATTCACACGAAAATGCTGCCAAAGTAACTTTGCTTAAGGTTGGAGAATTATGGTCTACTTCATTACTGGTACTATTATAGTAATAGACCTGAACCTAAAATTGTAGATACTTCATGATGTGACTGCCTAATCTATTAGATCTTACGTGGAAGTCACATCATTGTCCACACAGACTCATCGTATGAACCGCCTATACACCAACTTAAGATGCTCAAATGGTAAGTTAGTAGAAATCAGGTACACGTGATATTAGTTGAATCCGAAGATCATAGTGCTAACCAAAATGGCTCCCCACTTAAATCAAGAACGATGAAGCGAGAATTGAAGTAACAATACATATTAAACCCACCTTAAAGCCTTAATACCAGACAGCAACGAACTAACAGGAATAACGGGATCATACTGGTTTTGCTTCGACGCGAACAGCATCCAGTACATGATAGAACGAATATACCTGGCATTCTCATTTTAACACCCAGAAAGACAAGGTCAGCCTTATGGTATTACTGTGATGCATGCTACTTATGTCTGTCGATATACGTAGTATGTAACACTAATCGGAAGTGGAAAACTTGGCAGCGGAAGTCGATGAATACAGAAACTGACTTAGAAAGGAATATTGAGTCTGAAGAATCATACCGAATATGAAAACAAATGGTGGAAATTCGAAAGTGAAGTATTTACTGCATGGTTCCCATATTTTGCCGAGATACTTTGTAATCTCGTATTAAAATTCATTTGATTGTTTCTACCTGAGTAATTGTTCATTGCGTCACAACTATTACACCTAGAGTTTGACCAAATACTCTTAGTTGGAGATCTTAACACTCTATCCCTTAATCTCAGATAATAGTATATCAACCAAATAGGATAGTTTCAAAAGCGGCTCGTTACAGCCATCAGAAGTTCGGGACTGACTGGATATGTGGGTGGCATCACAAGATTGGGTAGGGATCGATAGTCCTCAAAATTAGACCATTTACCGATAAATAATCTGGTCCAGTTAAAGGTGTCAGTATCAAAGCGCCAACACAAAGTAGTAACGGTATTGCAGTTATATTCAACGTGGTCAGAGAAGCGATATTTTTGAGGCAGAATACATGATTATGACGGAGCATCTTCAACAGGCAACATGGATATCAGTTTATTGGAGGCCGACAGTAAAGTTAATCAGACATAATGTCTTACACAATACATCTCAAACATAATGCACACTTGGGTAAAGATTCTTGGTAGAACGAGGCTCGGAACACTTGCCACGAGGAAAAAGGAGAGCCCGATACAGGTAGAAAGTATCCCTAAAGGATTCTGACCACACCTCTTAATTGGTATTGAGAAACAGATGCAAGACCAAATTTCGAAAAGATAGGAGGTATTTCCAAACCAAGCTAGCAGTCAAATATAAGCTAACGTAAAATGTGCCTTTAGGTTTACGACTAAGGGGAAACCTGCAGACCAGGGCCTGATAGTGAGGATTTTGTCAAACCAAGGATGGAAGAAGTCTTTAGTTACAACTCGGTCGACCAATTAAACCAGGTATCTAAAAACACACTTGCATTCCCCGTTTTATTTCGATTTTCGTTTCATAGTTTTAATGACCGTCTGAGTGAATGAGTACGTTAGATAAATTCACCCAATTCAATCGATATATGGCTTCTTATTACTGCCGTCGCACAAACTAGGTTAGTCAAGTTTCAGAATATATTGTCAAGTGGAAGATTTATATTCATGGCATATTCATATCCTCATCGGAGTAATATACCAGGTTACAAAAAATTCAAAAGGACCTTACAACATTAAAGGAATGAGCATAAGACAATCGACTGGAGCTTTATTCGTCAAAAATGTCATGTCATAGACATTCTAACAGAAAACTCTTACGTCCTCAGTTAGAATTCGCTCATAGTTGTTGCCTCAGAGCCTGATCTTGGGTTAGTAACAACAAAGAGCTAGAACATTAGCTCAAATCAAATGCAGTGAGGCCAAACGCAACGCCTCATTTTATGCGAGGAAAACTTGTAGGAGTCAGCCCAGAAATGTCGCTAACATTTTATAACGTACAGCTGGAAGTCCAAAACGTTGTTGCTCCATATAACTTCAAAAGAGTTGTAAATCCCTCAGGTCAGTAACAGAGACTGCCAAGTAAGTAGGTTAAGGGATCAAACACAAATCTTATGAAAAAATACTCCAGCACCTGGGATTATTCTCGATAAGCTATTTCAGAATAAGATTGATCTGATAATGACAGCATATTAAATACGCCAAGTCACCCCAACAAGGGCATGTTACTAGGACGTCGTCGCTACACCAATCGGAGCAATTCCTAAAAGATAAAAAATCAGGGAGCAAAACTCCAGGTACGCTTTCACATTTTCAGAAAGTGTCATCTCCATTTGGAATGCCCATGGATTATTGTCTCTCGTATGGACCAGCTGTGCCTTATCCATGTCTCTCAACCCACATGATGATATAATTATTACGAATCACCAAATTACTCCTAAGTCGCTTTTCATTGTCTCAAGTTCCCCTTTTATTCTTGAACTCCCGTCTTCTCACACCTTTCATTACTGATTAATTATTTTTTTCATTTAGCTGGTTAGTTCTTGGAACAACCTTCTCTTATAGGGCCCTAATTTTCTTTGAATTATTTTTCACATTTCAACCAACTAATCTCCTACCTAGTAAAGTAATATCTGCTGATATTCAGAATACCCAATACCTCGTTCATTGTGTTGTTTCTTTATTTAAAGAAGGTAGAAAAAGGAAAGCTTGTACACGCCTCTCATGGAAATGGAAACCTATTAATGTTTACATAAATTCCAGTAGATTACAATCTTTTTAAATTTGTAACTCTTTCACAAGTCCTGTTTACAAATGAATCAATATATGCTTCGGTCGAAGCAAACAGGACGAGAGTACTTGATCAAGACAACTAAACCTAGTGCACGGTAGTTCGACCCCGGTAAGACAATGGTTGTCAGACGTGTTATTACGGTTGCCCACTATTATTTTTATTTATTTTAACACATAAGTATAGGTACAGGGAGGCACCAAAATACATATGCGCCACACAAATCTCAATTGATTTGTGTGAGGGCTGTGATACTGCTCGGGTGCCCAAACCGAAGCAGGTGGTTTTCTTAGGGGGCCACACCCCGAGCCTTCGACCTGAACGTCTGACCCACAAGGCAGTGGAGCATCGTGAGGAGATGCAGTCCCATGGTAGCCGGTGACCAACGATTGGTTCATACGCCATTTGTTCCCTCAGGATACTGGAGCCCATGTGCACCATTGGTTTGGGGTCCGGTTAAAGCGCCAGACATTCGCTTTTCGTCCTCTCATTTTTGTAAACAACACCCCCGCCACGAGAAGGCAGTGAGTAGGACTTCCCTGGCAGGGGCTATATACGCATGGCCATGTGAGAGCATTTCGAGAGGGAGAGCGGACTCTCCCCACTCTCGGCCGTACCAGGGCATTTGGGGGCACGGTTGCCCACTAGAAAGATAGGACGCAATTTGTTAAATATTCCAACCTGTCAGTGGAAACTGGATATTCCTCGTTATCGGTGAGTGATTAATAATATCACATTAGAATTGACGGGCGCGCCCCTGGACGAATTCATTCGAGCATCTAAGATGGTGGTGATAGGCGGGTCATTTTCTCTCCGAGCACTCACAAAAAGCTAAAATTGACTCTATTGGGGATGTCAGACTGTGTGGAAAACTAAATAAGGGATTTTTAAAGGCAGTTTACCTTATAGTTAGCTTGGTTGGTATTCTTCGGAACTAACACATAATATTTCGGTCGACTAGTTTCGTAGACTAGGCATTAAATTTTAACCTGCCTTTCATATTAAACAGGTTATAACTGCGTCAAGTAAATCCGAACCAGTTGCTAGGTACATTTTTGATTATACAGCCATTAGTTCTAGCGATTTGACCAGTATTCTCAGTTATGTGAAACAAAAATCACTAAGGAGGGAATTAAACTGGACGACCAAACAAGCGGTGTTACTTTTTGAGAGCTTGAGTATTAGCTTGTTGTTGGGATCTGAAGTAACACTTTTACTGTGAACAGCACGCACTTGAAATGTCAAAGACCATATCCGTACCTAAGGAAATACTTTCCTCCCAGAGGAAATTTATTCTTATTATGTGATACGAAACCTTGACTAATTCAAATATCTTATCACTGCTTTGTTTTCAGTTTGATATTTTTTCATCAAAGATCCTGTACATAAAAATCCCTGAATGTTTGGTAAGTCTGTCTGTGCTTATTCTGTGTTAGATTAGCTGGAAAATTAAACAACCGCCTGTCGTTTATGGTACTTATAATTCTGGAGAACTCTTACCAATAATTGTGGACAGACACTGTTAAAACTAAGATAAATTCAAGGTATCAGATAATTTATTTAAGTTAGGAGAAAACAAACAAAACGATGTTTCTGTGTGAATCAAAAAATAATTGAGTTCAAACAAGAATCGAAAAGAAAGTAACCATCACATTATGCTGAATTTTAACATGAATCAGAAAATTGTTGAAAAATATGACAGATATATTAGCACAATTTCTCAATAATGACCAGATGATATCATTTGCCTCAATATAAAAAGATGAGGTAAATAAAATCAAGTTTAATTACTGATTTTTCTTAGAATCGTTTTGTTGTTGACCGTAGTTTTCAGTTGGATATGGAGGTGATTGATTATGATTATCTTGAGTATTACCCGGATAAGATGGGGGATTGCCTAGATAATTTGGAGCACTAGGTTGTACATATACACTAAAAGGATCTTCTGGAAAGTAGTAACCCCCACTTACAACATTGGCAGGACCATTAGAAGCAGAAGCTTCGTTCGATTTATCTAAAATGATACAAGTTAAAAATATGACAATTAGGATCTAACCCAATTAACAAAAACATTACCCAAGAAATAAACAAGCGTTGGAAAAGTAGGCTGAAAATCATGTAATAATTTTGAAAAAGATCATTATTATGTGTAAGCTATGAACCACATCATGTGAACATCATCTAAATTATTATTGACCAGAGAGGCATGAAATTTATTAGGACAGCATTACTCCTAAAGTAAGTCACTCTAATAAGTATGCTTACGAATAATTACGAGTAGAGTGAAGTAGAACTATAAACTAAATTACTATTGCTACGAATAATTTCTATAAACACAATTCATTAACCGCAAAACACTTCGGTGTAGTAGCTAATGTATAATCCTTAGCTGTTTATCCAGTACAAGACTAATTATATTCAGGCTGAAAATAGTTGCCAGTTCCAGTAACATTAATTTGAGACGTATGAAAAAGCTTTCAGATACGAGTATAAGATCTGCCCGAGCAACAAACCTCAAATTTAACATAGTGAAGAACTTATAGTAACACACTACGATTCACTTTCTATTTAAATGCTTTAAGATAGATATTTTCTAATCAAGTTCATTGCCAAACAATCATCATAGTAATGTTTTAATATAAAAGACTGATAACATCAAAAAGATGGTTATATAGTATAAATGATTTATAGCTCAGGTGGATGATTTAGGTTTTCTTCTTTGAGCTGGATGGTTTGGTTGTGGAGCTTTCGTTGTTCTTCTGAACAAAATCATCAGCACAAACTTCTACATGAAGGGTTTACTGATAGGATCACCTGATAGGTTTAATGTGGCTACATATATTGTTACAATATTTTGTTCCATTTACACTTTGAATCATTCTAGATAGATGTAGTTAGTGTCTAAAACAAAGGAGATTACGGATAAACCTATGAATATAATTGGATCGTATGTTCATTAAGAGTATTTTGATAGCACCAACTTTTTTCAGATTACAGAATCGGATTTTACTTTTAAAACTGATAACTTGATAAGTGATAAACTTTTAAAATAAAATAATTTGAAACGTAAAATCCCTTACGTCCATATTCTGAGTTGGTAACTGGATATGGTGCATTCCCTCCTACAGTTGTTGAGTTAGTAGGATAAGGTGTTGTGTACTGACTAGTACCAGTAGGTCCAAAATCATTAGCCATTGTAGTAGGTGTTGCACCAGGATATGGAGGTGGTGCTCTTACTTGGTAGAGTGTTTCTGCTGTAAAAAATAAAGATGTACGAAAAAGTAGGATATTGTATATAAATGAGGGGCTGATCTATCGAAAACGTCACAAAATTAATAATTCTTTGCTATTTTAAGGGAAATCCTACCTTTCTCTCCATATATATATATATATATATATATATATATATATATATATATATATATATATATATATATATATATATATATATATATATTCATCTATAAACTCAGACTAGTTTTAATAAATAGACTCAATTAGGAAACTAAACTATGAACATAAAATGATACTACTACTACTACTACTACTACTACTACTACTACTACTAATAATAATAATAATAATAATAATAATAATAATAATAATAATAATAATAGTTTTAACAATTATTTCAGTCAGTCATGGGCGATGTAGAATCTAACAATTATGTGCATCGACTAAACCTGCCACACTAGATCAGAACAACGAGGTAAAATTATTTCAACAAAAATCCCAGAGTAGTGGTAACATCATAATCAGAAGTAGTAGAAAACAATAAGATTTCGGGACTTAGTTTCTAAAGGAAGACAAAACATAAACGCATTTATATCACTGGGAACGATTCTGAGCCAAGTCACTTAAGGTCTCTAACCAACAATTAATTAGTACAATAACAATGATAATATAAGCTTAGATAAGTAAAACAATTTTATTTACTTGCTTTCATTAATCAGTAAGTATGGAGAACGAGTTGATTAGAAGAGCGAGCGAGAAGATATTACTTACCTTGAGGTACAGTGAATGCTTCATGTGGTCGTACAAACCCATAGTATGGATCATTGTAAGGCGCGGAATAAGCTGGTGGTGGACAAGCATAATACTGGCCTGCACCATTCATATCTGCTACAGATGAATATGCATTTGGTGGTTTGAATTGTTGTTTTGCAGAACATGCACGTCTGCCTAGTTCGATTAATGTTGTGCCAAATTCAATTGCACCGCCTTTTTTGAACGTTAGTGAGAATTTCGCTTCACCCTTAGAAAAAAATGAGCGAGACACTTTGAGTGTATGGTGAAAATTTGAGAAATATAACAAACAGTAAGTCAGAATACAGTAAATGGAATTAAGACTTGGTGATATTCAGTTCTAAGCGATTGGGTTGGAAGTTGAAACTACAATTTGTTTACTTATACGTTTACGCAGCAGGGTATTATCTCTTGCTAAAAGCCTAGAACACAAACTTATACATGTGTTTATTGAAATGTATTGAATAATTAGATAAAACTATAATAAACTACTAAGACGATAAGATTTTGGGAAGTGGATATTAGGTTTCATTGTAACGATTTATAGTGTTACTGACTATCTCAATCACATTACAAACAAGATTATGGAATATTTACTTGTTCAATTGACCAGGAAAAAGACAACCGACGGAATATGTATATATTTGTTCTGGTGCTTGTGGTGACGTTCACATTGTAAATTAATTCTCAGACTAATCATGCTATGAGTAATGTACAGGGAGTAGAGCAATAAACTTACGACATACGAATGATTCCGTTAATCTGTTGACGAATGTATGCATGGGGGAAGTGTAAAGTATGTGAAGACATAAAAAACTATTCATAGACCAGAAGAAAATTGATTACGATTCATATAGATGAGTTTCTGTACTGTATATGTACTTTTGGTTTTACGCGTTAAGACCTGAGTAGGAATATTGACCAATTCGTAAAATAAGTATACGTTTTAGTTCTGTTACATTTTAACAGTAGACCAATACATTAACCTTGAAAGTCACAGTATCATTAGTCTAAATTAATCATTAATTATTTTAGTTGTATTACTTACGAACATGAATTAAAAACAACTGCGACTAATTAGTTTACCATTTAACAGGAGATTTCGAGTCCAAAATGTTCAAAAAAGAATTCAAAACATTAGATAAATGACAAAACCCTCAAATCAAAAATTGCTTGGTAAATATTTACTGAAGAGTTTAACTAATATTAAATGAGAAGTATGAGGTATTATTCATGTCTTTGTGATGATTTTATAATATTGATAAATTGTGCTATACATTTACCAAGTCTGATGACTTCGCACAGTAATGCACAATATTTTATATTTGAATGGTTAGAAACAATCGATAGGAGGCTGAAGAAAATTAGTTTTACAACAATTTATGCACTGCTAGAGGTATATTTAAATTCTATAGTCAATATGTAAACGAATAATGTTTCACTGGTGAAAGTATTATGATGGTTGATACATTGAATTACTTATTATAGGAACAAGTGATCACATAATCTAAGAAATAAAAACTTATTGCATATAAACCTGTATTTGATAAATGAATTACACAGGTTTATAATTACTTAAAAACATCTGTGGCTATTACAAAACATTTAATAGGCAAAACGATGTTCTAAGTAAGACTAATTACAGATCAGCTAGTCTAGCGATGTGTTACATATAGTGAATCTACTTTGTAACTCAAACAATCAATGGATTGTGAAAACACATGGTTCTAAAGTACATATGTAGGGTTAACGTGAGCTCAAAAATTAGTATTTTAAGAAGGTAGGAGGATCAGTCAAAGATAGTAATTAACTAACCTGCCAGCCACCATTCGGTTCAGCCGTAATTATGCCTTCTACGCGATTCGCACCAAACACAGGTTGTTTAATATCGACCTCTTTCATATTAACAAATGGCATACTGAATGATAGTACGCCTGATGATGCTTTTTTGTTGATAAAAATCACCTGTTAAAATTTTGTAAAGATTATTATGTGAAATTCGTTACTCTATGTGAAGTCAGGTACAAACGTCCCATATGTGAAAACTTGAGAAACTGACCCTCGAGTTCTACATGACATCCATCGTAATAAATTAACATCCTGAAACACAATAATTGATTTACTTAAAACATCAATTGGAGCATATACCTTTCTCCATAAAATAGAACAACACCATTGCCGTTTGCGGAATGACTTTGATTCATAGACATTTCGATATGGTACCTATGGGCGAAATAGAGAGAAAATGAATTGGTATAATGGTTTGTTTATATGTATAGATTCGAAATTGTAGATCAATGGACTAGGCGATTTTCTTTTTGCTATCAGATTGGGGATTGGATATACCTCAGCTAGGATAGTCACGTAATATTCAATATTATAATATACACCAGCTACGGTCGAGAGCACAAATATATGTGATTATTGGGTCGCATCTTTTAGTACAGACAACGATAAGCGCACACTAGCCCAAGTGACGCGGTAATAATAAGTGAATTGAAGACTATATGCTCTGATAATTTCAAAAAGTAACCCCAGTGTAACTGCATTTTTAACAAGACAACTGATAGTAATTATCAGATATGTAAGCACAATTTGAACATCGCGAGACAAAACTAGCAAATATCATAAGAAATTGATTGAAATAGACATTTGGACGTGTAGTAAAATAAGAAACAAACAATTAAGGAATCCCATGTTAAACGACAAGTTAGTCAGCCAGAGACAACATAGAATCTGGCAGAAACATGTATTCAACCAAGTTCCTACATGTCAGAGTAGCGATGAAGGACAATCCAAAAAACGAGGAGAAACAGAAGAAGAGGGATAACGATATCGATTCTAGGAAGATTAACATAAAAATATATTTCAAAAGTAACATAAGAGTTTAAAGTTTGAAAGAACGCTAAGCTGAAAACTTAGAGGAAAGTAAATAATCAGTAAATCTGAGTAGTTGGATTCAGCCTTGAACTTACCAAACCAGAAAGTTCACAGTTTGATGTACCGATGTTACACCTTGGTTTGCTTGCCTCTAGCCATTACATAACCTACTCCTTTGATAATCTCCGTTTAGTTTTCCATTACTGTCTTTAAGGACTTCTAGAATCTTATTTATTCATTTATTTTAACACATAGGTATTGGTACATGGAGGTACCAAATACATATGCGCCACACAAATCTCAATTGACTTGTGTGAGGACTGTGATACTGCCCGGGTGCCCAAACCGAAGCAGGTGGTTGTCTTAGGGGGCCACACCCCGAGCCTTTGACCTGAACGTCTGACCCACAAGGCAGTGGAGCATCGTGAGGAGATGCAGTCCCATGGTAGCCGGTGACCAACGATTGGTTCATGCGCCATTTGGTTTGGGATCCGGTTAAAGCGCCGGACATTCGCTTTTCGTCCTCAATTTCGTAAACAACACTCCCGCCACGAGAAGGCAGTGAGTATGACTTCCCTGGCAGGGGCTATATACGCGTGGCCATGTGAGAGCATTTCGAGAGGGAGAGCGGACTCTCCCCACTCTCGGCCGTACCAGGGCATTTAGGGGCTACTTCTAGAATCAGAGTGCCATGTTTCGATGTTCTGTATCGCTTTAGGTTTGTTACAGACCTCTTGAATTCCGTAGGTTTGTCGTCAAGATACACTAATAGCCTGAAAGTGACAACCATAGTTACCTAATTTACGTTGCCTCCATTTCGAAATGTTCCTACATGACCACTATCAAGGAAGTTCTACTACTACTACTACTACTACTACCGCAGGACAATTGGTATTAACTTTTATTGAGTCATATCTGACAACGTTTCCAGTAACCGAGTTGAACAGTATTTAATAACCCGATTGGAGAACTGTGATAAGTCAACAGGTGCCAGTCCTTTACGATTATTTTTCATACCACAGCTGTTATAAAATGATCTCTGTTGGTTTTCCTACCTAGTTCCAACATCAGCAAATAATGGAGGTTATAAAAATCTCTCGGATGATACCTGTGAAACATAACCATGTTACCGAAGTCGATATTTCAAGATGGTGACACTAATTGAACCACATATCGTCGCTAGATGTCAGAAATCATTCGAAGATAACAAATACTAGAAACAGAGCCGCTAAAGTAGGTTAAGTGAATACTCACATTCGGGTTGTAAATGTATGTCGGATAAAAATGTTATAACTCCAGGTATATCCTGGTGGATTTGATATCAAGAATGAAAATCGACCCAATACGATTTTCGAATTATCGAAACAATTTTATAGTGGTTGTTGTGCTAAGTCAGTAATAAGTGCTGAGTCATTTTCAAAACGCTAAATCATGAGATAACAAAGGAAGCAGTGGTTCATCATACAGGATGTTGTGCGCTATGATAAATTATAGCTCATGACCATTAAGTTAGTTCGTCAGCCGATATTCAAATCAGCAAAGTTAAATGTCACAAAGAAAGCGTATTCTCCAATCTTCCTGTCAAATTTATCACCACCCCAAATTGATGTCAAGTTTAATAAAATAATATAACAGTATCTAAGTTAACTAACCGGGGCAATAACTTTCTATTTATTTATTTAAGCAAAAACATCGGTAAAAGGAGGCACCAAATATATATGCGCCACATAAATGGTTCAGTTTGGCTGGAATACTGCCCGGGCGCTCAAACCGAAGCAGGTACATTTTTAGGGGACCACTCCCCGAGTTTTGGAATAGACCTAAATCATAGGGTACCTGATTTTAAACATATCGTTTAATGCTTATATTTGGGTTTCACTTTAGATATGCTCTTGAGGGTCAAGCACTTCCTATTTGGCTTTCCAGTGGTTGGCGTCATGTGTGAAAAATACCTAGTTGGATTGGAAATCAAAGACGGTATTATCATAATTGTTGAAGGTGAGGATAAAACGCAGCTTTCTAAGGACTCTAGGTGGCAACAAAAGAATTTCTGACATATGCTTGACCTATTCTGAGTACAAAATGTTTTGAATTCGGTCCATCAATGCTTAGTTTGATGCTAGGTAGAGTAGCCGAGGGTATTGATTTTTGATGTCATATGAGCTGCTGTAGATCGGTGAGTGACCAGAACTCCATATAGATAAAAACCCTGTTTGCCCATTGACAACCTATACATGAGGGACACAACATATTTACTATCTTGTCAAAAAGCGATTACACTGCGAGCCATTTAAATATTTATCCATTTACATTGGTGAAGCAGTAAATGAAAAGACGTGCAGATTGCATGTATTTGATTTGCCTTTTGAGCACTTTTCGAATGTATTATGGGGAACGAATGGCCGAAATCTGTCAGTAGTTTGAGTACTTTAAAGTAGACTTCATCTTGGTGCTTTAATAATGTTAATGATTTCCTTCAGTGCTAAGTCCACAAGTGCAATAGTGTTATGTAATACGAGTCAGTTATTCTCACTTTTTCAAGACAATAATAGATTTGGATGCAGAATAGCGACTTAGCATCTAAAGCAATCAAGTTTTGACCTGTAAGCAACAGGTCTCAACATAAATTCACTAAATTTAGTTTGGGTAAGTAGCTAGTACAAACTAGTAGACAGCGTCTAAGACGGAGTGTAGAAAGCTGCTTTAAACTGTTATTAGATTGCAAGAATACAAGAAATACAGGGTTTAAGGATTTTCTTCAGAGCCCACAAGTTAGAGAAACACTCTGAACGTGAACTCACTAATGATAGGTAGGAGCATTTTATATTGACGGAAATGAGCTTATGAAGATAGAAAATCTATTTGAGCGATTCGAAGAAAACTAGTGGTTTGCGGCCATAGTTAAGTATGATTCAAAACCGCATTGAGCAGAATGCATATAAGTTTACTGTGATTGAGAAAAGACGTTCTTGTAGTGTTCAGCCAAAGGAGCTACTTACATCGAAAGCTTATATCTTAGTTCATTTAATCGCCCTAAAACAGTAGTGAGGAATATTTAAATAATATGGAATAAACATACAACGTTAACAAACGAACAGACCCGATTTGAACACGCCAAAAAAACCGCCTCCGGAATAAAATAAATTGACCGCGACGTCGCAAAGCAGTTAAAACGACACAGCAAAATGATTAACGTAAATTAAATCAAACATGAATGAAACAGTATCAACCGAGCAGTTTACTTCAGCAAATCGTATGTTTTTAAAGCAATTTTGAATTTTGTATTGACCACTCACATGACGATTCTGTTAGCTGAACTATATCTTCACCACATTAGTTTGCCTGTTGTACATACTGATCATGAATGGCCTCAAAACCATTGAAGAGCAGTTATCTATGTCGGAAAATGCAGCACTTGCATCACCTGAACATTCTGAAAGACATTCTGTGGATTATGATGGACCTCTAAACATATTTTACACATGCGATTGTGAACTTAAAAGTGTTCTTGTTAACTTGAGGAATGCGGTGATATGTCGATCGGCGAAACCTCAAGTCATGAAGGGCACATCGTCCCTCCTTGTTTTCAAACGTCTACCTTCAAACGTAGATCACGACTCATTCCGGTAAGTTGATAGTTTATTATGTACCTACTCGTTTACTTACCAAAATAAATTGAGTATCCACGGAAAATATTGTTAAAAGTAGTTCACTAATCGTATAATCTAATGATAACAATGCACATCCACATAACGTCCAAAAGTAGGCCATGTTGAACACTGTCAGTGAATGCTTCACGAACACAGTAACATACATTTCAGTGTGGAACCACTTGAGAATATAAAAATATTTTTACTCAACTCAAGCTTAACTCTATTCGACTTCTCCGCGTCACTAATTTAGTGCCTATATCTCCAGAAAATTTAAATGAGTGATTGTACTGTGAAAATACATCATAAAACTAATTTAAGCTAGGATATTGCTACAAGTTACGTCAGTAGTCGATCGGCAAAACACTAACAATAGTATACTTTATTTTTATATTAACAGTGATTAAATACTAATTGAATGAAAACTGTATAGAGGAAAATCTTTTTACAAACATTTTCGATCACTGCTTTTACTTCTTGAGTTTAGTCTATATGAGAAGTGTACAATTAAAAACGTCTACTTATTTTCGTTTAAAATTACTCATAAGCTGAGGATATGAAAAAAATATTTAAAGTTGTCATTTTGCAATAATTCGTTTCATACTGATTATTCAGGCTGACCAATTTGTCTTTTATTGCCTTTATGTATAAATAAATATTTCTAGATAGCGTTATACGTGAGTTTGTAAATAGTTCATAAATAAATAATGTATTTGTAATATCTCACTATGTAGAAAAATTAGATTTTCCAACATTTCGTGATTTGTTGTAAGATACTTCTTCAGAGAATAAATAAATAACCAATCTTGGTTTGTTTATTTATTCTTTGAAGAATTAGCTTACAATAAATCATGAAACGTTGGAAAATCTAATTTTTCTACTTATTGGGATAATACAAATATATTATTTTTATTTATAGCAATCTACCCAATGCTCAATCTGTTTGAAATTATCAAGTCAAACCTTGGTAATGATACCTACAAACTCATTAGTAAACAGTTCATGTTTTTCATCATAATGAATAAATTATAGTTTTAGTAATTAACATTGAATCAGTCAAAACAAATACTGAATTCAATGTTGAATGAAGATTTTGCTACACTAACATAAAATGATATTATACAGAATTATACTATGATCTCTCATTTTATCTTGTACTGAAATAAATGACCTGACGAAATAAACGAAATAAACTAGATAAAATCAAGTTTGTTCAGCACTGATGACAATTCGGCGAGACTATAATTTATGGACGAACCAATCAGATATATGTTAACAGGCCTTGGATTTTGGCGCGAAATTCACGAATCGATTTTGGCATTATAGCTGATGTCAGTTCGTGATGAAAACCTTAAATTTAATGAGTGACCTTAACCGTCAACTGTAAATCATAAATAAAAGTCCTCACACATATTTATAACCCTCATTTGGTCCTATTTATTAAGTGGACGCTAACAAGGTCAATCCAGCGTCGCTCGTAGGTCGTTCATAAATTATAGTCTCACCGACAGTTTCAGTAATTTTTAAAATTATATAATCTCCTAATGAAAGCATATCTTAAAGAAGATTAGTATTCATGACTTTCATTATAATGATTTAATTGAAATTTATGAACTGGCTATTATTTTCAATGTTGATTACTAACGTTACATTTAAGTTATTTAAAATATCAAATGAGTGACTATTTATTTTCATGATTTTAAAAGGGGTTTCATAACCTAAATATTCACTTCTGTTTTGATGATATATAGTCAACAGTTGTGATATGATAGGCAAAAGTAATTCATTCATCACTAGTCACTTTTTCATTTTTTGAATAAGGTTCAAACTCATCTCGACCGAACTAACAATAGTAGTCTTTGTATTTAAAAGATATTTATTGTATCGTTTATTTAACAGAAAAAGATATGAAAGATGGTTCTATTGATTCTTATACCACTATTGTTTTAGTGATTTTATTTTTTTCTTTAACAAGTTTATTTGGTGAGACTATAATCTATAGACGAACCAATCACATATAAGTTATCAGATCTTGGATTTTGGCGAGAAATTCATTCATTACTTTGGCTAAATATCATCTTGGCATTATAGCTGATGTCAATTCATGATAAAAACATTAAATCTAATTACTTAACTCAACATTCAACTGTAAATCCTAATCTTAATTCCTCACATTAATATATAACCCTCATTTGTCCCTGGTAAGTAAGTGGAAATTTCATGGTCATTTTACCTTTGCTCAAAGGTCGTCTATAAATTATAGTCTTACCGTTTATTCTTTTAAGTTTGATCTGTTTACAACTTTGAAAAAATATGCTCATATTGTCTTGGCATTAATTACTACTGTAATGAACGTGAACACAAACGGGGACAACACAAAATTATAGAATCTCTTATTAAAATATATGAACCATACAGTAAATTATTCATTTGCAAAATGTCAATCAATTGTCTTCAACTTGATTGTTTTTTTATTTCCACACCAATCACTCTCTATTCTCATTCTCTTCTCTTCTATCTTCTTAACTTTCTACCACCAGGTATTACACTTTCATATACTATTTATTTCTATCGATATCAGTAGCACACACCACACTACATCTTATCAATTATGAATAATTATGCAGTGTATATCATTTTTATCATTAATTAATAAATGTAGTTAGCATATTTTTCACCAAGTAAATTATCACATATGATACTTGTGAAGTAGTATCAGTCCAAATACCATAAATATCCTCTGTATTTCCAATCAACTCTTTACAGCATTACTACAGAATTGAATAGTTTTTTTGTAAAAAAAACTGAATCTATTTCATTTATTCAATATTAAATTACACAATGTTGTCAGTATTTAAATTTATACGTTACACGTACTAATATAAGTCGAATAGACTTTTGATAGGTAGATTTAAGAACTTAACTATGAATGAACAGTTTCATATAGTATGACTTTCTAAACTAAACTGTATGTCATTCCTATATTTGATTATTTTTAAAACATTTATACAAAGTGATATTTCTAAAAGAATATTAAATACAACCGTTACTGTTGTGGTGAGGGTTACTTATATCCACATAAGTAGTATAGAATGGTAGTCAGGCATAGAATTTATTTCAGTAGAAGATCGATAAGGAAAAAACGGGAACGGAACGCAATTGGTATGAAAATGCATAAACAACAGATTCAAAATAATGATATGGGTAATGATTGTGAGAAGGATAAAACATTGAGAATATAGTTTGAAAAATGGAACAAATCCATGTGATAAATGTATGGAGTAATATTATAATTCTGTATCCAAGAGGATGTAGCAAAATAAAATTACTTGTCAAATTACATATGACTCGGTATTCTGCCACTCAGCGTTTTTAACGACTTATAAGAATTAATTCTAATCGTATATTTAAACTATTAAATAAAACTGTAGTAGACAGTTTCCACCTTCATGGACTCTGTTCAATAGAATATTTAGTGGATTATCAGTATGAGGTTGTAAAGATTATTAACTTTTTGATCGTGGATGTGCACTGTTGAGGACTCCCATATTAGGACGAAACGGCAGTACAGTGCTTCCAAGTTTTCAATGATGGTCTAACATCAATTGTTTCATGGTCTCAATCAAACATATTTTTGACGTTTTTACACAACCTACGTTTATGTTAGGTCAGTAGTGAGTTTTAAGATTGTAAGTAGTTAGGTCTGGATAATATATATCCGAATTAGGTTGAATATTATTATTATGATTATTATTATTATTATTATTATTATTGTGATGTATTTTACTTACGTCGACATAAGTAGTATATAACACCAGTTAGAAGAGGAATGCCTGGTATCAAAAGGTTGGGAAGATCGAGTCGAAATAAACAGGAAGAGAGACTAATTGTTATGGCAATGAAGGAACGATGAAATTTGAGAAAATTGATGGAATATTTTCAAGTGGAATATTTTATGTATAGTTCATATGTTTTATCAAAGTACTCTGATAATTTGTATTAAAACACTTTTGGTTGTCCCCCCCCCCACCTGTGTTCTACTTCATTACTCTACTATCAATACTCACAGAACCGCTCATATTATCATTACTAATCACGCTACTACATGATTTACTATTATAAGAATAAAACCTTTTGACAACTTATTTTGTTTTCATAAACTCAATTGAAAAAGTTTGACATACTACTATGAAAAAGTTTATATCTATTTAGATTTATGTTTTGTCTGTTCAGTTTCATTTTTGACAAGATTAAATTATGTCATTACAGATAATAATATTAATAATAATAATAGTGACAGTAATATTCGTAACCAATAATAATAGTAATAATAATGATAGTAGATTTTAGTTACATTAAAAACAAAAGCATAAAATTGTTTTTTTTTTGGTGAGCTCGTGACATCTTTTTTTTGCATAAAAAGTAGCGTAGAAACTGACTCGTTTCCAGGATAGATCGAAATCATCAGATATTTTTAC